TAAATAAATAAATAAATAAATAAATAAATAAATAAATAAATAAATAAATAAATAAATAAATAAATAAATAAATAAACAAGTGAACGAGCTAGTGGGAGAGTGAATGAATGAATAAATGAATGAATAAATTAACAAATTAATAAATGAGTGAGTGAATGAATGAATGAATGAATGAATATTCCGAATAGGAAATAGAAATAACAATAATCAAACCTGTTGACAATATTCCCACTTTTCACATCATAACAGCTCCACAGTGAGTGTCCTGTTGGTGGTTGGTTGTCTCTGTGTCATAGAGAAACCGTGGCTGTCACAGTGTGTTTCTTCCCCTTTCCCCCCCTCCCAGCCCCGGTGTGCCCGGTGGACTTCCTGTTCCTGGTGGACAGCTCTGATGTTTCCGGGCGGGTTCTGTTTGAGCGTCAGAAGGAGCTGGTTCTGCGCGTTAGCGGGCGGCTTTTGGCGCTGCGCTCCTCCGGGTGGCGTCTGCGCGTGCGTCTGGCCGCGCTGCAGTTCGGCGGGGGAAACATTTCGGTGCAGCACAACCTGCGCGACTGGCAGGATGCGGACGTGTTCCGGAGCAGGGTGGCGGCCATGGCCTTCCTGGGGGGGGGGGCGCCCCCCCCGGGAGGGCCATGGCCGCCGCCGCCCGCCTGTTCCGGGGGGAGAGTTCCCCCGCCGGCCTGAAGGGGGCGCTGCTGCTGCTATCGGCCGCCGGCCCCGACCACTATAGCGCCGCCGCCGCCGAGGAGAAGCTGCAGGGCGTCCGGCTGCTAACCGTTAGCATAAACGGCCCCCCCCCCCCACAGACCCACGCACTCAGCCTATCAGACCCAGACCTGGAGGACAAGCTGCTCTCTGAGATGGTGAGTACAAGAAAAAATCAATCAATCAATCAATTAATTTATTTATTTATTTATATAGCACTTTATAACAACCGGAGCTGATCAAAAATCAAACTGTCGAACAATACAAAATAATACACAAAGACAAACACATCGGTGACAGAACCCAGTATACAGAGACCCTACGTGCAAAAAGCCATCCTGAACAAATACGTTTTAAGTTGAGCTTTGAAAAGTACAAGAAGTACAAAAGTACAAGAAAAATCTATTTAATACAATTTTATCTATATAGCGTCTGTTATCTCACAAAAAGACTATAATAGACAGAAAAGGCTGAATTCTGATCAGTAATATAATATAATATAATATAATATAATATAATATAATATAATATAATCATTATTATATGGCTGCTCACTGAGACGGTGAGTACAAGAAAAGTACAAGAAAAAATCAGTTTAATACAATTTTATCTATATAGCATCACATCACAACAACTGTTATCTCACAAAAAGACTTTAATAGACAGACCTTATAAAGAAAAGACTGAATTCTGATCAGTAATCCAGTCGAGCTTTGTTTATAATATTATTATTATTATTATTATTATTATTATTAGTAGTAGTAGTAGTAGTAGTAGTAGTAGTAGTAGTAGTA